TGCTCCTTTAAAATCTGTAAGTTTCCAGATAAAGCCATATGGGATGTTCTCTTGAAAGGCTCCTCCTCCTGCCTAGGTGTCTCTGTTGGGAGCTTTTTTGTTTCCTGTGTGTCTGAGTCAGAGGCTATTGACTATAAGCTCTGCAATGGACTTAAAACTGAATGAACTAGGTTCCAACTTGAGAATGTCTCAGGGGAAATGATTTTTCCTATTCTGTGTGCCTTTCTAAGATTTTTTCCAACTCTTTCCCAATTGTCAATATTTACAGTGCCCGTCCAAGGAAACCATGAATTATATTTGGTTACCGCTTGTAACATTTTTGTTAGGTCTTTTTTTTTTTTTTTTTGGCACACAAGCCCCTGAGCATTTAAGCAAACCTTGGAGCAGCTTTATGTATCTTTGCTCTTCAGCTGAAAATTTTTGGCCCATTTTACTCCTAGATAAAATTGGCTTGTTCACAGCAGGAAGACTTACCCCTATTCCTTGCAGAATGTTTCTCTTCCCTCCATTCTCCAGGCTTTCCTGGTGAAGTTTTTATCCTGTGAAGGCCTTCCCTGTCTCTCTCACTTTCTACTCTAAGTAGACTTACACTTTCAGGCTAAAATTTCCAGTCCAAGGACTATATGTCCATGTTCCAGGGCTCCAACTGTTGGCGATTCCCCCCTATCTCAGCCTCCCAACTGCTGGGATTATAACTGTGCACCACCATGCCTGGATGGAGTTGTTTTTTCTCCATTTTGGGGTTCATAATATCCCTTTGTTACTGTGGACTGATCAGGTCTGCAATCTCCTCAATGAGTGTACAGTGAAGGTTAAATAAAAAGAGACAAGTGGAATGATTTCAGGGCTCCAGGAAAATTAACACCCTCTTACAGAATTTGAGATTCTCTCAGGGCTAAGGCCAAGACCTTCCCTGGGTAGCCCGTATTTATTTGGTTATCAGAAGGGAGGGGAGTACTCAAGAAGGACAGATTCACTTAAGAACTTCTCCAAGTAAGGCATTAAATTAATCCTTAATAAAGATTAAGTTAATCCACCCAGGAACCTTTATCTAGTTGAGATCAGATCCAGGTGTCTGTGGCTGTGATCTTGTTTTATTCTTTGAGGTTTTCTAGCTTCATCTGCCGTTACAGGTTTTAGAAGGGATTAGTGACTCACAGAGGTTCATTTATTATGAGTCCATCACCCACTTCCAGACGAGTAGCCTAGCCTTTGGACAGATTCAAAAATAAACATAAAAAGCCAATTGATTAAGTCCTTGGGGCTGCTTCATAATGGTCTCCATCAGTAAGGTATAAAAACAGACAATAAATTAGGAGAAATCTAATATTTGCTTACATTCTTTAGTAAGGTTTAAAAATTTAGTGTTCCTTTAGATAAGCCCTTCAAATGATTTTTTTTTTTTTCATCTTTTAGCTACAGGGTTTCCCTATGCAGTTCAGGCTAGACTTGAACTCACTTGGTAGCCCAGGCTAGCTTCAAACTCTCAGCAATCCTCCTGTCTCAGCCTCCTGATCAAATGAGTTTTTGAGATTTTCCCTGATGATCATTTTAAATGCACCAAGTTTTAAAGTTTAACCAAAATTCTTCACTCATATTTTTTAAAAAAGCCAAACACAAGGCTAGGTAGCACAGAACTATACATAGCTACAATATTTTAAAGAGGGGAAGCATGAGTTCAATTTTAGTATTAGAAGTGTATGCAGGAGTTTTACATGCCATCTATGTATTTTAAGTATGAAAATAATGGTAAATCACTTACTTACTTACTTACTTACTTACTTCCTGCAGGAAAGCAACTGCAGAAAAGCAAGTGCAGGAACATAAAAATTTCATGAATGGTCTGGTCCTTTTCTAAGACTGAAAATCAATTTTTCCCATAGTATGTTCAATATAGGTTTAGTACTGCAATTAAGGGCACTATTACAAAAGTTGACTCTGTGTACTCAAGGAAATGTTGGGCAATGACTAGCAGTTGGCTCTTCCATTCCACCCTATGCTTTATTAACTGTCTGTCCTGATAGAGGAGGCCCAGGTGTAGCAATTTATTTTCTTTTCTCTCTTTTTTAAGGTAGGCTCTTGCTATGAAGTTCAGAGTGGCCTTGAAATCACAAAGTCACCCAGGCTGGTCTTGAACTCATGGTGATCCCCCTACCTCACCCTCTCAACTGCTGGGATTATAGGTGTGTACCACCATGCTTGGCTGGAATTGGTTTTTCTATTTTTTTCCTTTTCTTCTATGGATTGAACATCTATAATCCCCAGAGATGCAGCCTTCTTCTTTCCTCTCTCAGCAGCCTCTGCAAGTTTTTGTTTTTTTTTGTTTTGTTTTGTTTTGTTTTGTTTTGCGTCTCAAGTTTTGCAGTTTTCTCTTCTGGCCTCTGCACACATAGCCCCCCACCCCTGGGGCCGGACTGGGAGGATTGAGGGGTGCCTGCCCTAGAGCCATAGTGCTAACACCTACATTTTTCTTTAACTAAAACTAAAGGACAACAAAACAAAGCACAACACAATAAAGTAATACCCCTAAAGGGCAATCACATAACATTTAGAAAATCTTAGTTTTCCATAGGCTCTCAGAGAGTTCTCACATCACCCTGAGGGGGGGCATAGTTTGCACATCCACTTGCCATGAATGAATGAACTCCTTATTTGTGTCATGAAGTAGCAGTCAAGCAATGTATGACCTTCTGTGCTGTGGCACTGTCCTTTCATAGCCATTCCCATTCACTGCTCAGGTGAAGAGCATAAACAAATAAGAAGGAGAGACAGAAGAGTCACCTTTCATTGTTTCACTGACTCTTAGTGTTTTCATTAGGATTACACACCCAATTCCTCTTTTAATTACTACAAAATGAACAATGTTTATTCTGAAAGATAATTTTATATTACAAGTAACAGATATTAACACCTTTTTGTTTTTGTGGGGCTTTTTGGGATGTGTGTTTGTTGTTGTAGTAGTGGATGTTGTTGTTATTGTTGTTTGAGACAGGGTCTCACTATGTAGTTCAGGCTCATCTTGAACTCACTACATAGCCCAGGCTGATTTTGAACTCCTGGGGATTTTCCTCTCTCAGCTTCCCAAGTGTAGATTACAGGCATCCACCACCAAGCCCCCAGCCTTGTTTAGTTTTATCTTTTGAATTTTCAGACACAGTCTCCCTAAATCACTAAACTGCCTTGGCAGGTTGGGCTCAAATCTGCAAACTTCCTACCTCAGCCTTGTCCTTCTGGAGTGCTAGGATTATAGGTGTTCACCACCACACCCAACTACTGTTGTTGTTGTTGTTGGTTTTGCTGTTGTCCTTACCATAGTAAGAAATGCATCGCATCACATACGGCTGGGGAAAAGCTGAATACAAGTCAGTGCTATTCAGCATACAGGACAGGGGAACTCTGGATTATCACTGCCAGCCAGCCAGTGACATGAAGAACATCATCTGGGGCATGTTGGAGGCTGAGGGTCTTGTCTGAGCAAATATTGGGAGTAGTGGGTTATTCCCTCCCCAGCCAAGGATGCTGCTCTCAGTATGGAATCTAGCCCAAATCCAAAAAAAAAAAAAAAAAAAAAAAAAAAAAACAGAAAACAAGCTAGCCAGTCTGCCAGCCAGCCAGTAAGTGTGTCACATGTGGTGTGGTGGTACACAGACACTTAACTTTAGACCTAGGCAAGCTAAGAAAGGCAGGAGGACCACCACTAGTTTGATGACAGCCTGGAATACATAGTGTGTTGAAGGCCTCCCTGCAATACATGGAGAGTCTCTCTCTCACAAAAAAAGAACCCCCCCCCACTAAGGACAATTTCCCTTCCTATTTTGACAATGAAAGTATAAAACTCCAATATCTAATACAGGCTCTCAAAGGCATTCCTAAGTGGGATGTGGTTTGCCAGTAACTCCAGAATATGATTAGTTTAAGAATATGATGAAGACACTGGTTCAAAACTTTTTTTCATGTTGTTATGGCTCCATATTGTTAAGATAAAATAGCAATCCCCACTTAAACAAGAACACTGCTGACAGGGCCAAGGCAAAAACCAGCTATCAGCTTTGCTAGCCTGGCAGTGTTAAGAGAGCAAGCAGTGAGGCAACTCATCCCAGCTTACCCACATCGAAACCCTGTGAAATTCACTGTCTCCCATTCAGTCCCACACCATCTCCAGAACTCTTTTCCCTCTCCCACCATTCCTGGTCACTGGCCACTCAGTGTGCCACTTTTCTTGCATAAAGGGATCAGAGGTTGCTGGGCATTGTGGTCCATGCCTAGAATCCAAATCAAGCAGTCTGAAAGGCTGAGAAAATAGGGAGCAGAGGTTCCAGCCAGACTGTGTCTCTATATAAAGGGCTGGGGCTGGGTGTGGAGGCTCATCACAGCCAGCACTCACTTGAGAGGCTGGGATAGGAGGATTGCAGTGAATTCTGGGCCAGCCTGGACTCTGTAGTGAGTTCAAGGAGGCCAGCCTGAACTACACAGTGAGTCCCTACCTCCAATAAAAAGAAAAATCACTATCATTCCCTGTTCCCTGTCCAGGTATAATTTTCAGGAAGGGTGGCTTTCACTCCTACATAGCAATACCACATGAGATTTGCCCCTGTCTGGTAGTGGGGAAAATAAACCAATACCAACACTAGATTTTGGAGTGTTGAGGTGACTCAGTCACTGACACTCAACCCAATCTTTCCTACCCCACCTCCCATTCCATCCAGGATTGGAGAGGTGGACCTATGCTGTGCAGTGGTCATTGTGGAAGACACTGCACAGAAAAATAAATAAATAGAAAGAAGAGTTCACCATCTGGCACAGGTGGTGGGGGGTAGGGAAGCAGCTGTGGCCTTTTGCTCCCACTCACTTTCAGTGCAGAGAGGTGCCTTGCACAGGGTGAAGGGCAGACCCCAGGCAGTGTTCCTGTGGTGCCATTCAGATCCTGGGCGCACTTCTAAAATCTTCTCTAGGGAGAAGGACACCTGCCTATGGATCAGAGAAACTTCACGCACTCCATGTTTTTGCATTTATTTATATATTTATTTTGTGATCTGTTGTTAGGCTTCTCAGTTCTCACCTCAGAGAACAGGGGCAAGAAAACCGAAGATGTTGGTTCTCAAGGGGAAAGTCTCTGGGGATTCACTATTTTCTCTTTTTCTTGAAGAGAGTCATTGTACAGTGCACACTTACAGTCACATGTCACATCCTCATGGGGTCATTGTCTTCCTATCAAGGCAGGAGAGCCAATGAAGTTCTACAATAGAGAGAAGGGAATTCAATGGTTTTGTTCTCACACCAGTGTTACGCTGAACCTTCTGAAGAACATCAGGTGAGGGGGGCAGTGTGTTAAGCACAAGTCATCCCAGTTCTTCACCTGGGTGGAGAGGGAGGCAGAGGTATTGTTGGAGCACAGTGTGGATGAAACAGAACCTGCTGTTGGGTCATTTGTTAGTCCATCCACCCATCCAGGTACAGGAATGTAGAAGCAAATTAATGAGGAAATGAATATAAATATTAAAAATCCCAATCACAGGCAGGTACAGGAGCATACACCATCACTCAAGCACAAACCCAGGACAAACAAGAGGGAGCACAAACCACCACCAACACCTATCATGACTTTCCATGATAGCACATGCTGTGTTTCCCAGACCCAGTGTGCACATTTATCTTGGTACTTATACTCTTTTCCTACTTTACTCACCCCAAGTTCACTTAGCAGAGCCAGTTTCTCCCTACAATTTTCACTTTTGCTTTCAATAACACAAACAACAAAGCAAAAGAAAATAAAACAAGACAAAGCAAAATAAAACAAAACAAGACAAAACAAAACAAACACACAAGCAAGGGAAATGACTTCACTCACCTGGTCAGAGCAGAGGTGGCTGTTTGAGAGCGAGAGCAAGAGCAAGAACAAGAGCAAGAGTGAGAGAAGTATACATGCGCAATCCAGATTGAGGCAGGAGGATCCCCTCAAACCCAAGGCCAGTCAGGGCTCCGTAGTGAGTCCAAGGCCAGCCTATCTCACATAGCAATAGCAGCAATAGCAGCAATAGCAGCAGCAGCAGCACCAGCAGCAACAACATAAAAGAAAAAAAAGAAGATAGGGGAGAGAAAAGATGAAAGAGGGCTGGGGAATGCAGCCCCAGGGGAGCACGCCCCCAGATTCAATCTCCAGTAAGGCAACAGATACCTGGGTGAGTGAGTGAGTGAGGAAACTGAGTGCATGCATAAATTTACAAACGGATGAAAAATATAGTTCAGAGTTCACTGTGTTGAATATCTAGTTGGTGGGGCAGGGAGTGGGGTATGAAGAGTGAACAGAAAACAGACAAAGGAAGGAGGGATGGAGAGAAGAAGGAAGAGAGGGAGAAAAGGAGGTAAAGGGAGGGAGGGAGGATGAACCAGGCTTGGTTGTAAAGTCTACAATTGGGAGTTATTCTGAAGGGTACGAGGCCAGGCAGGGAGAGTTAGTGAGACCCTCCCTAATTCAAGGTAAGAAAAATCAAAATGATTTGGGAAATAGGAGTGTGG